TTTACTTGATAGCCACTGATTTAAGAAGTTAGGTCATTCTATAAAACATCAGGGAATACTCTTAGCAAAGGAGTCAGAGGAATTATTTCCTATATTAATGTTTGCCCTGCCTCGGAACATGGCCTGAAAGGTTCTCAGCAGAATTAGGCTAGAAAGGACAGGTGGCAAGACCATTCCTCCCTGCAAAAGTAAATCAGGACCGAAATTTTTTAATCATGCTAAATGCAAAGGAGTTCCTGAAATTAAGGAAATGTATCAAAAATCAGTCCTGAAATATATGCCTTCCTAATACTGTGTGATCTGCAGTGGAAAGCCGACAGGGAAACCAGGCATCTTGTTCAAGATCTTATCCCAAGGCATAATACCAAAGCTATCAAACAGTGGAGCTGGCTAGTCCTAAAATCCTTCTCATTTTTTCTAAGAATTACCTAGAAACCTATAAATCACAGAAATACAGCATGGAAAAGTCTTATGACTATTTTCAGAAGAAGAAGCTTTAATACACCATTCAACCCATTATCTGGTTGTATTTTCTTTCCCTCTGTCTTATTCCACCAGATATAATTACACATTTTAGATTACTGAAAAGCACATTACAGCTATGATAGTCAGTGCCCTGTTATCAGATATCTCATACAGCCTCAGAAGAAGAAAAAAAGCAGAATCTACTCTGACAAATTCATTAAGGAAGAGGCTTTTGAAAAAACTGGGTTATCCAACAGGTTTGATAAATGTCTGTAAACTTTCAAAAAGAACAAATCGAGGAGGAAATAGCTTATAAAAGCAACTTAAATGCCAAGCCTGTCAGCTGTCATCTTAATATAAATTACGTACCTTCTTCGAGCTCTTTTAGACTACAAATTATTAGTCAAACATAATTAATAGTTAGTACTCAGAACAACTTTTTGTATCTATATATACATATAAAGGTATAAATATGTGTGCATGTGTATATGTATACACACACACACACTTGCTATATAAAGGCAATATAAATTGAAAGATGCACAGATAAGAGGGAGTCACCCAGTCACAGAAAATAAAGGAGAAGGAATCAATCAAAGCCATGTTTGATACACAATTTTCATGCCGTTAAGGCTTGATGGCTTTTGTCAAAAGAATGAAAGAAATTTAAGCAAGCAGGAGACCTAAAAAGGAGAGTTCATCTCAAAAAAAAAGGATTGTGAGCTCAAACCCTTCAACCAGCTCCACACAGCCTGCAGAAATAGCTAATGGAGAGCTCCAAATCTCTGCAAACTAGCACTACAACTTGGACACATCTAAGGAATGGTCTTGCACTACCAAGTGGTTTTTACACTTGTTTTTCTATTTGATACTTTTCCAGTTTTCCAATCAAAAATGAAACCTCCTGTTTTCCTAGAATGAAGCCAGTTTTAAGGTTCTTCAGTGTCTAAAAATACCTAGCAATTGAAATGAACTAAAGTGATTGCTATGCACATGGCTTTCAAAGAGTGCCACTCTGACCAGATATGGAAAAATCCTTTGAGGTATCTCTAAATCAAGACAGATTTAAGATTCTAGGACACTGGAAAACTCCCCCCACCAAAAAAAAACCAACCAACCAAAAAAAAAACCAAAAAAAACACAAAACAAAAAACACACAAAAAACCCCCAAAACAAACCCCCCCAAAACCAAAACAAAACAACCCAAAAAAACCCCAACCAAACAAAAACCCCACCAACCCAACAAAATAAAACAAAACCAACAACAACCAAAAAAGAAAAAAAAACCTCCCCATAAAACAAACCAAAAAACCCAAACCCATCCAGAAAGAGAAGTCTCTGGGCTCAGGGATGCTGGTGTCAAGCACTAGGGAAGAATGACCAAAAAAAAGCCAAAAAAACCCCACCATAAAACAAACAAAAAAACCAACCAAACAACAACAACAAAAAAAAATCCCATCCAGAAAGAGAAGTCTCTGGGCTCAGGGATGCTGGTGTCAAGCACTAGGGAAGAAAGGAGAAATCCAAGCAACATGAACAGATGGAATAAACACAGTGACATGAAAATCTTTATGCAAAAGAATGGTTGATATATAAATATCAAAATTTAATTAATGAGATCAGCACTATAAGAGTCACCTCTGAGACTTTCCCATTGCTGCTAGACTTAATTATCACAAACACCAATTAATGGCAGAAGATCATCAAATTCTTCACAATGACTGTCAACAACTGCAAGCCCAACTCAGCACTACACCACCACATTTTCTGCTACACAATTCTTGCATTTCTATATTATTCTTCCCATTGGACTTGCCTTTAATAATCAGTTTATATAACCTGTGGGGACACACCATCTATGTATGCAACTGCTTCCTAAACATCCCTTCTGGTTACCAGATGGGACATTACACTTTGCTCCTTCTCCACTCCACAAACAGACAGTTTGATTATGAAGGAAATATGAAGGAAAAGATGCTATTGCTCCTGGTTACCAGATGGGACATTACACTTTTCTCCTTCTCCACTCCACAGACAGTTTGATTATGAAGGAAATATGAAGGAAAAGATGCTATTGCTTCCCAAAACTGACAAAAGAAACATTCTCCTTCCTTCCCACATCAACTTGAGAACACCAACTTGCTTCTATCTGGAGCTTTTCCCAAACAGCAGACAACCTCCAGCCCCTTTCCTCCTAGCACAGTACTAGTCTGCTACAAGGCAAGAACAGCAACCTGTTCTACCCCACACTCCATGGAGGAAAAGCTGTGGCAAGCTGCTGTGCTAACACTCAGCTTCTGTTTGCTACAGCTTCTTCTGCAGGTGTTTCCTGACAGCTGCAAGGATGGGCAGGAGTCACGCAAGCCACCACAGCTATCTTCATATGCTGCCACCTACATGGAAATACTTGCAAGCCAATTGTGTGTCATCTTGTATTGAACTGCAAGAGACCTTGCAACCTGAACTGCAGCATTACCCTGCTGATGTTCTGCTGGGTGTGTGCTGGCCCCAGGGACTGCTTCCCATTTGTCCAGTTTTGCAACAGGGTAGCAGTGGAAATCTCAAAGCCAACAGAGCAGAGGCGTGAAGACCGAGGAGCAAAAAGTAACGTGAAAAAAAAACTTCTCACTGAAGCATAAAGATTCATTGGCCATGGATAGAGACATTTTTAAAAGCTACATTAGTGCTGCCAAAAATCAGCTGCGAGGTGTTGAAACAGCAGAATGGAATATCCAGTCTCAAGCTCAACTTCATTTAAAGATTTCCAAAAGAGTTTTTCTCAAGTTACTGTTACACAAAAGCTCCTGGGACAGTGTTCTGAGCAGTTTTAACATTCCACTGTTTACAGGAGGTTTTTGAAAGCCCTTAGATAAGGCAATTGTCTCATCTGTCCAGGAAATTCTACTTCACTCCAATTAAGTTAAAAGCCGTTTTAAAAATCCCAACCAAACCACCAACAAAAAATCCCAAACCCAAGCCCTCCTTCACAGCATTATCCTTATTGTACTCATGCTGCTTGAGGAATTTCTGTTTATGAACAAAATACAGCTTAAAAAAAATGACACTGCACTACCAACAAAACATACACAGCTGAAAATGCTTGTTAGCACCATCCAAGAGCAAGGAAGGAAAGGCTGAGGAATTTCTGTTTATGAACAGAATATAGCTTAAAAAAATGATACTGCACTACCAACAAAACACACACAGCTGAAAATGCTTGTTAGCACCATCCAAGAGCAAGGAAGGAAAGGGGAGGTTGATAAAAAAAATTAAAACTGTAAATTATATTTCTCCTTGAATGCTGTAGTCTTGCAGGCTCTCTACAGGCACAGGCAAGGTACAGGGCAGGTCCCAGGCAAAACACCTCTCAGGTAACAGCAGATCTCCTCCAATTATTCCCCTGTGCACAGCACAAGACAAAAGCAACTTATCATGGAGATGTCAGCTCCTTTTCTAGCTCCAAAGACCATGAAAGGGGTGGGCTGCCTCTCCCAGTCTGCTGACCCACTTCATGAACCTGCAGTTAACAGCCTGCCAGTAGCTGTCTGCTCTCATACACATCCCTTTATAGCACTGTGGACAAGTACATCAGCAGCTGAAGACAGGTAAGGATGCAATCTACCTTAAAAATAATAAAAAAAGGCAGCATTTATAGAAATTATCTAAAAATTATCTAAATATTTGTAACATTATATAGAAAGATCAGAGAAAATCCAGAAGGTCATCTAGCTCACTTTCTGAGCTCACAGCTTACATTAACTCCCACATACACCACAATGACACTGTTTTTACTCCATGCATGATCCTGATTTAAGGATAAGGTTGGATCAGATGCCATCTTGAAGTCCATTTCATCCTGAATTCTCCCTATGATTGGTAAAATGCTGATTTATACTTAGATAAGGAATAAATTATAACTTCACATTAAAAATAAACCTTATAACCCCTTCTTTAAAAAACCAAGAAACTTTTAAACTTGGATTGAACAAAAACAAATGTCAGTATCTACTTCTTGAGAGTTATTAAATCCAGCTATTTGCTCTTTCTTCTGGAGCACAAACATTCTGACAAATGATACAATCACATGATCATGTATTATTTTTTCCTCTGGGCTCTGAAACTCAGCCTGCATCTGGAACAGATGCACGAGGAAGGGAGACAGAAGCATCCAAAGACTGGTTCTGGGAAAAGTCACATAAATGCCTTAAATCTAAAATGCTTAACACTGAATCCTAGAAAACATATATATCTGCACATATAGAAAGGTAGTGCTGGAACACATAAAGCCCAGCTGTGACCCACTAAATTAAGAAAGAGGCAGTGCATATGCAAATCTACTGCAGCATTTCTGTATTTTTAGTTTAACACTACTCCTTATGGACCACACACTTCTATACTGAAAACATCTGCTCCAGTATGACCTGTTGGGCACCATTATAGCATTTGCTCAGTAGCAAATGTCTGATGTCTTCACATTTCTGTCTCCACACACTCAGACAGTCATGAGGACACATTGCTTTGTTTTTCATTCTTACCTTCTCTCCACTAGAGTAGAAGAAATAACGCAATCGGACAATGTTACAATGATCCAACTTTCTCATAATCTGGAGCTCTCTGTTCTGAAACAAGAGAAAAGCAAACAATTAGAAAAACTTTTTGTGGAAAAGGTAAGGTACCATCACGAACACTTTAACATACAGATACAGAAGTTGACAAACCAAAGAACAACTAAGTTGGAAAGGCAACAGCTTTCACATGTTTATTAGTATTTATTGTAATTGCTTTATTATCGAGAATATTGCCACCTTTGACTATGTTTTCTCTCTAAAATAAACATCCATAAATCCATCACACAATTCAAGAATTACCTATTTGTATTATCAAAGTGTCAGTGGCAAAAGGCAAGAAGACATTAACTTTTCTTTTTTTTTTCCCAATCTTTTAATAATACAATATATCAACCAGAAGGATAGGAAGCCTACCCCATTTGAATACTGTAAAAATAATGCAAACACTGTCAAAGCAAACAGCATTTCCACTTACATGCTCACTCTTCTCTACAGTGCAAGAGAGGTTTGTAACAAAAGATCCTTTCCTCTACCATGCTTTTTGCAATACCAACATAAAGCACCTGAAATTGATTAGGTAACTCAATTTCCACTTTTGTTCAACCAAGGTTAAACCAGTTTAGACAGAACAATAGCATCATTTTCCCATTTTATATCAACTTGAAAAAGCTGTTAAGATAAAATCAGTTCATAACATGCATGATAAACTGGGAAATTTACTGCAATATCCGTTGCATAAATAATGCCTGAACAAATGAAGGATCTTGCAGCTTAGCAGGTAAAAACAAATGAAGTTTTGAAATGCAGGTAGGAGTAAAAACAAGCAAGTAAAATTAGCACAGCTATGTTTGTCACACTTCATCCCACAGCTGTTGCTACAATACTTCTTTCCTCTAGTCACATTTACACATCGCTGTTTTTCCCTTCTCAATTAATACGCAATCTGCAGCTACAAAAATAGAAGGCGTTCCATTTTTCACTTTGATCGTGGGATTGCTAATCACATATCCTAAAAGAGCAAGAACTAATACACTAGACTACTTCACTGTTCTTTACTAGCATCATTAATTCTGGCCAAGTTCAGGAATATTTGGGAAGAGAACTCTTTAGCCACCACACATTTTTACACTTAAATGCACAAAGCTAACACCCACTTTGTGCAGTGCTGCTGTCAAAACAATGATTTCAGATTCTGTGTTATCAGAGGGTCACATACGGTGTCTGTCACTACAATTAATTATTAAGTAACTCCACAAGAACCACCCAGAGCTTCTAATGTGAACATGGATACAAACTCTTCTTTTAATTCCTCTAAGCCATGTAGCCTTAAAAAGAAGAGGTGCTACATAAGATGCAGTATCATTAATCCTATCAACCCTGCCACCCGCTGACTGAAAAAATACTTCAGTATTAGCCAGCTCTTTACAAACACGAGTGACATCTCACACAGTTATCAGCTGGCAATTACCCAGCCAGTGGTTAAGGAGAAAGCAAGTCCCTCCCGGAGCCTGCCTGGCCTCTGAGCAGATTAAAGCCTAAGACCATTTGGAACATACCAAGAGAGGCCTAGTCTATATTGCAAGGTTGCAAAGACAAAGAGAAAGCAAGGAGAGACTGTGAGGCTTTCATGTAGCTCCTGAAATCTTATGGTGTGAATTTGTGAAAAAGGAATACAGGCTTCACCACATAATTCATCAATATGCCTCACATCACAAAGAGTAAAGCATTCTCCTGGTAGGAGCAGGAGCTCACATATATTCTCCACTTACTCATTCTTTATTAAATCCAATTAAAAAAAAAAAAAAAATTTTGGACTAATGGCTGGGATTCCTGTGCTGCATAGCACTTTTTTGGACTAATGGCTGGGATTCCTGTGCTGCATAGCACAAAATTCAAACTACAGATAAACAGAATCCCATTTTCTTGTCTTGTCCAAACCACTGCTGGCCATGGGGTATCTCCCTGGACTTTACAACACGGAGCAAATTTCAATTAATGAGTGAATGCAAGGATGGGTCTAGATCCCACTGATTACAGAGTCACCTATTATGACAGAAAATTAATTTATCTTGCTGCCTTTTACGGCATTTTACAATAGGACTAAACCTAACACTGCAGGTTCTTGCACTTCAACCAAATTCCACCAGCATTTCATAGCCCACTAATGGCAAGTTATTTCTTTTTCTCTTTCTCCTACTGACTGTGAAATGGGAATAATACTTTTTATCTCATGGTTTTACTGGAATAAACATAAATATGCTAAGCATTAATGTGCAAATATTATTTTGGTAGTATCTCTACTAGCTTCTTAAAATACCCATACATACTCCAAGTCAGGTCATTGCTTCGTGTTCTTTAGATAGGGTGTATGTGCTGATTGGATACACTGGAAAAAAGAAATCAGCAAAAGTTATTCTAATGCTAGGCTGGAGTTATATTTATACTCTGGTATCTCATCCTAGCACAAGCAGTTTCTGCCTCCTGTGATGCCTTCCACTTTGATCCATCTCCTTCAGCTCTCATCCTGACCATCTGCTGCAGCTGCACAAAGAGTGTTTCAAGAGGTGCTAATATCAGGGATAAGTCATAAACCAGTTACACAGTAACCTATATCTTGCATCCTGTGACTAGGCAGAAGGAAACATATCTAAACTGCAATCTTAGCCAAAGAGTCACCTCAGCTATCTTAAAACCAAACTGATTTCTAATCGCCACTCCCTGGTGGAGTTAAAACTGGAAATACTTGAACAATTGCAAAGCTCAAATTGGATTTGGCAGGGGAACAGCTACTGAAGTTCATGTTCAAGAATTACTTTTTTCTCAGATGTGTGCTTCAAGTAGTCTCACTTTACCATATACTTCCCTGTATACATCTTAAGTAACAACCTTTTCACATTAAGATGTGGGCTATTAAATACCAGTGCAGAATTGCATGGAGAGGAAGGGGAAATATCAGATTATAACCAGGGAAACTTTAGTGAAATGAACAGTACCAGACGTCATGCACCAAATGCAAGAGACAAAATGCATGTCTAAAGATAAAGCTAACTAAAATAATTTCAAAACATGCTGATGAGAAAGGCTGACAATGCACATTCAAAATACAGGGTAGATTTAAACCTAAGGCTCATGCTTATCCTTAACTCATCATTTTTGTCTTCCAAGAAACATGCATGCAAAGTCAAAGACTCTAAAAGGAGGAAGTTCTACTTTCCTGTTCTCCCACCCTTTCATGAAGGAAAGGCTTGAGTTTTCTAACTGAACAAGGGTACCAGGCTGGTAAGCACTGCAGAAAGCAATACCCTTCAGCAGCAGCTTTCCCACAGGAGAGAAGCCAGCAGACATCTGTTGCCACCAACACGTGCTGCTGCGGCACACGTTCCTTTGAGGAGCCGCAAACCAATGGGACGATGGACGGATTACTCAGCAAATTTTCTACAGTTCAATTTCTTTATCTAAAATAGATTTCTTTATCCAGAAGGCAAAGGCTGCTGATGTAGACTGCTCTATGATCAGTGCATTTAAGCCCTTCACTAACTACTGTAACAAAAGCCATGTGACAAAACCCTGTTCATCACTTATGAAGACAACTTTCCTAGACCAGACCGCGTCTTATCTTTTCATTATATTGAAGAAAACTGGTTGCTCATCAAGGTTAAAGATTTGGTTAAAGATTGCCAAGACATCAGATTTATAACTTCAAAGCACAGCAAATAAAGTTCCTGCATGAAGATTCATGCCTTCCCTCCAAAGTTACATTCCCAATCCCTCGGAGCTGAGCTAATGCTGCATGTGGTACGATACCACCAAAGCAAGGTCATTTCTGCCTGTATTACTACTGTAATCTGCTATTACAAAATAGGATAACCATCACTCCCAGCCACATACACTCCCTTTCCTCCCCATCCAGGGATTTCTAGAGCTAAACCAGTTTGCATTCATCACTCTTAGTCTGATTTTTTGCCTTGTCCCTGCCTCACACCCTCCCCCATCCCTTTCTCCCTCCCCTTCTTAGAGTAGAGGATAAAATGACTGGCTCATCAGAGATGAGGCTTTATGGACTTGCAAGTTCCTGAAGTGCACTAGAGCAAATGACAGTGAAAGGTTTTGTACAGCTCGTGTCAGCATGACATTGTCAATATACCCCCAGTGAAGTGGAGAAATATAACCTGGATTCAGTTCAGAAGAGAATGCCTCAGTTTCCTTAGCAGAAGGGCATGCTGAGTTTTGATTTTTTTTTCTTCTGAATCGCCTTTTTAAAGTCTCAGCAAGGTTCTTTGAGAACTATGATCAGTGCAGATGAAATGGGAGAAATTAGGAATTTATATTTTTGCTTTCTGTCACACCAAGCACATGACCTGGTCATTTCAAACAGATGAAATTAGGTATGTCTTGAACTTTTAGAGAAGATATCTTTTAGATGGAAAGGCAGGATAAGCTACCAGTCTAATTCAACAAGTACTTTCAGCATCAGACTTCCTGCTTAAATCAAGTAGGAACAGTAACTAAGGTTAATGCTTATTTTTGCACTTCTTGAAGTAATTGTTATTATTCTTGGTGTAATACCTTCAAATGATGAAGCTGAATACCTTGGGTTCTTCTATCAGATTGAAAAAACAGAAAATGGAGCATAACTGCATCAACTGTGGCATTACAGATAGATGGAAGTAGCACAGATAGATCCAAATTTCTCAGTATACACACTATTCCTACTCTTGTGTATGCCATGATTATTGTTTCCTCCTTTTCTCCACTTCCACCTTATATATATATATAATATTCTCCATTTTACCACATTTCTCATCCTTCATAAACGTTTTCCCACAATGAAGAGCACGAAGAGAAAGCCATGGGTAAAATGGGGAAGAAACCGGCTTCCAGCAGGAGGCATGAAGACAGTGATGAGCCAGCAGGGCTTGCTTCTTTCCCCCCTTGCTCCTTCCCACTTCTACAGCCAGAATGACTCATCACATCCACTCACCTTCACCTGCTGCACTGCTGAGCCTGCCCTGACAACAAGCTCAGGCCAAAACATTGAGGGATTCAAAGCA